ATATATATATATATATATATATAAATAACGAAGTTTCTTCGACTACTGAAAGTTCAGAATTCACAGATGCGTCTGAGCATTCTAGCAGTGAGATTTGTCCGATGATCTTCAAAATGCAAAGGAATGACACCAAAAGCACTTGGATTCTGAAATTCGTCTGAAATTCTGCTGTTGTCCAAAAGCATTTTACGCACCACTAACGTGCGAACGATGTATTTCCTCGGTTGCGTGCACGCGGTAATTTCCAGTGTGTTCGTGTTCCGGCAAACTAACCACCACCGTGAATGGCGTCTTTGGTATGCCCGTGTAGTCGTATTTTCTCTTTATCCTACCAACACGTTTCTTCAAGCAAAGGGGGGAAATTCGCAATTAATATTGCTCGTATTACACTGTTCTAGTTATTGCGTTGATTTTATAATATAACTCACCATATCGTCGTAATGATATTTCGTATGCAGTGTCACGCTACCGTTCATTTGATTAACCACGTCATTTCGAAGCTATGGACAAGTCATCATCACACATACATAGGTATAAGCAGTAGAAGTGATATAATTTCAAAGAAGCTAATTTATTCGTACCATAATGATTCCCTCGTCGAACTCCCTGGGTTCTTTATCTTGATCCATCAGCTCGACTTCTGCCATGTCAACGCTATTGTACGCCGGCTTCAGGATACCTTGAAACTATATTTTCATTACGTAAATACAATAGTTCTACTAGTCTGGGATCGAAAGCGGACTTTTCAGGCATATTTTGCGAATTGGCATCGAAGAGAAGAGAAGAGATAGACGTTAATTGTTTCACCGGTACCAGGCACCAATATTCGGTATTATATACAGCAGTACCAACTTAAGCGTCCATCTATGCAGTTTATCACGGTAAAAATGTCACTAAAATATATCATACGTATAAAATATAACGTTCCACTTTCATACTCAATTAAGAAATAATAGTCGGTGACTATTGTGATGAGATAGCATCTGCGTGAAATTCTATACTTATATGTATCAATACGATTACAGAATCATACCACGTGTATTGTTAATTAATTTGACCTTTGATGAAAACTAGTAACGAAACTTTTATTCAAGGTTTCCACTCAATCATTGATCGTTATTGATTGACAACTACTTTTTCAGGAATTTCAATAAATTTTCGAGAAATTTAGATTAATTCATTTGATAATTATCGCTTTATTTTATAGTTTAAAATTTCTTTACAGTCAAATAACGCGACTTATTCCCACTTTTTCTTTCAGCCCTAGATCCCTCTTAAGCGTCCACTT